ATTTTCGGTGCCGTTTTAGGCACTGTTTTGGCCTTTGGCACCTAGACTTGTTTGGATTTTGGTGATTCTTTGACCTCTATTCCTTTTGTAATTCTTGTGCCTTTTACACAAGGATCCATGCGTGCACAAGGAGTGTACAGTGCTTCTGGATGCGCTCCTCAAGAGTAGAACGGGTTCGTTTGACACGAACCCATTTGTTAGTCGGCGATTAGGAGGAGGACCCCGATACTTGCTGTGGCGACGGCTTAACTACTTGGCGCCTTCTAAACTCTAGATCTATTTGGTAGCAGAGTCTGTCCACCTTCTCCAAAGCTTAGGCGAATTGACGGGCCTGACATTATCAGCGCCTCTGATGAGCCCTCTTCGCCAGCACTGGTACGCCTTCAACGAAAACTCATTAACCTTTGTGGAGTTGTCACGAGCATTAGATCCGGCTTTCTTGGAGGCCAGAGAGGAGTCTTCAGCAGCATTTGACAAAGATTATCACCCGAGTCTTAAGATTTGAAGGTCAATTAACTTTCTTCACGAAAGTGGTCTTCCTGCGCTTGCAAGGAGAGGAAGATCTGGAGGAGGAGGAGGAGATGTAATCCTCGAATTCAAACTCTTCATCCACAGGGATCTTGATCAACGGTTGCGGCATGACAGCATCGGCAATGAGGTTGTTGGCTCCAACTGTGGTCGCCAGCGTGTTCGCGTCGAAAGTTGATTTGTTCATTGCGAGACTCATTACAAGTTCAGTCGTTATAATAAGTTAAAAAATCCCGAAATCTTATTGAAAAACTGGTTTCTAAGTGGTTAACATGCAAAAAATAGCATTCTTGGGCATGAGACATGCCCTGTGTCTCGGCCTTGGCCGAGACACACGTTGTGTCACGGCCTTGGCCAAGACAAGCCGAGACATGACTGGTGTCTCTCTGTTATTTTGCCTCTAACTCTCACATCTGACCTTAGAATGAAGAGATTTAAGATGCATTGGAAAGATGACAAAGAGATATTTAACTTTTGTCTTTTGAACTTCTTTAGATTCGAATCGTATCATGGCCAAAATGTGTGAGACATCATTGGTGTCCTACAGGTGTGAAACAGCCTAGACCGTCTCGGTTGTTTTGGATCTAACTCTCATGTACGATCTCAGAATGAGGTGATCCAAGATGAGTTGGAAAGATAATGACATGATCTATAACTTTTGTCTTTTGAGATTCTTCATATTTGAAACGAATATTGGTCAAAACAGATCTACCAGGCATGAGACAGACTCTGTGTCTCAGCTTTGGCCAAGACACGACATATGTCTCGGTTTAGACCGAGACGCCATTTTGATCGCCTTAACTGTTTTCCTGTAATTTCCCTGTTCGATCTAGGAATGACATGATTCAATGTGCGTCAAAATGCCGGAGAAGAGATCTACAACCTCCCATGGGTGAATCATATGTGGAGTGGACGAGACACGAGTGGTGCTTCATCTTTCATGAGTGAAATGTAACTCCTGATCGAATCATCTTTTCGTTATTCTGCCGTCTCGTTGATTTGTACACTTAGCCAACTCACTTTATGCGCTTGTCAGCGTTAAATAATCTTCCTTGACTCGGATAATGACGTTCATCATCTTCTCTCTATCTCAAGCTACGTGTGGGAACCTATAAGCAATTTTTGATGCCTACAGCAACGATGTGCTATGATGCATCGTTGTCTTCGTTGAAATTCACAGGGGCGACTGCTTTGAGAGTTGACTTGTCGGCCATTTTTTGATTAGGAGTAGGATTATGCTCTGGAGATGGTTAATTTAGGGTTAGGGTTTTGCAATGGGGTTAGGATTATATTCTAGAGTCGGTTCGCTTGGACAGAAGAGAGATGAGATGGCACGACCGACGAGGAATGATATTGATAAATAGGAGGTGGTTATATTAAAGGGCATTTGGGGAATTTTTTTTTTAAATTTTTCAGCACTGGCTCATGTGGGGAAGGGTTTTGGGAGCTAAAGGAATATTGTTAAGGTTTTGGGGGGCTTTGGGATCGTAGAAAAAGTCTGGGGGGTGGAATACTTATAATGGTTTTAGGGGTTAGAAGCAATTTTCCCTTTTTAAAATATTGAAATTATGAAAAATATTATAAAATATGAAAAATTATTCAGTTTTTAGTTAATATACAATAAATTTTAATGCTTTTGTATATACGTCATGATGCATTTTAGAGCGAATGTTATTAATACTTTATTTATTGTACATGAAAATGAAGGAAACCTAATTAAAAAAAGTAAAACATCATAAAACTAAATCTACAATATAAAAGAAAAATGTAAGAAAAAAATTCTACTATGTCTAAAAAATAAATAATAAAATAATAAATAACATGAAGATAAATATGCACTACAAGGTATAAAATGAACCAATTTTACTAACATAAAAATAAAATTCTAAAACATAGATTTCTAAAACAGAAAACTAAATGAGAAAAATAAAAGCTTACATGTAAGAGGTTGGTCCTTGGAAGCAAATCCTCTTCTTCATCTTCATCAACAAAGAAGAAGAAAATAATTAAAAAAGAGGAAATTTTTTTATTCATTGTAACTAAAAAATATATAATTTTGGAAGGTTTCTTAATTAAGAGTAATCCTCCTATGCAAATAGAGTTTTTATAAAATTATTCACCCTCTACGCCTATTTAAAGCCTATAGGAATCAATAAGAGCCCTTGGATTTAGTTTGAACTCCAAGAAATAAATCTAAGCCACACATTATTTTTTCTACGAAGTAATCAGTTGGTCAGTCAGTTAGCCAATCGGTTGGTCGACCGATTGGCCAATCAGTCAGTAAACTGATTGGTTCATAACATAATTAATTCCATTTTGACTTGTTTGACCAATTATTTTCTTGATTCACTAGACTTTTTTTACCTCCTCTTGGCTTGATCTTGGGCTTCAATATGTGATAAAAGAATAAGAGAATTTAATTCTTTAGGATCTTATATATTAATTCCTTATTTCCTACAAATTATAATAAACGCACGTTATTAGTGATATTTTAAAAAAAGTAAGAGTATAAAAGTACAATAAAATGTGATTATTAATATTCCCACATCTAAACTTTTCCTACTCCTCTGGTAAAGGAAGAAAATAAAAAGAAAGAACAAAAATCCTAACTTACTTTTATAGGAATGACGAATGTATTTAGTATATACAACAAGCCTTTAAATCCTAGGTTACCCTAAAAGATGAATTGTAGTCTCATGAGCTTTATAGTGAATTTACCCAAAAATTTTGGTCAACTTACCTATTTGAAGAAGTCAATGTTTAATTAATTCACTTGATATCTTTAAACATCTAATGAGAGCTAGTTTTTACTCAAGACAATAATTTCAAGTATAAGTCCAAAGTTAATTTCTTAGAAAATCTTTTCATTATAGTTATACAAAACCAAGTCTAACTTAGAGCTTTATTTAAAAGTTTTGAAAACAACATGCTAGCTTTTGCTTCAAACAATTTGTCAAGCCTCTTGATCAAATTATTTTTCAAGGACATATGAACAAATATAACAATAAGAAAACCCTTTTCTTTTTTAAATATTTCTTTATTTATTGGTGATTTTTTTTACTTAATCAGGATTTCTAAGTGAGGATATAGTGAGTTTTGGGTCAATGGATCCCAACTCAATAAGATAGAATTACTTTGAATTTCAAGAGAGCTTTTATTGGTGCCCATTTTCAACACTTTTCTTTTATATTTTTTTTTACGTATGTGTACATGTGTGTGTCTATGTATGTATGTATGTCTATGTATAAATGTATGTATATGTATATGCATATATATATATATATA